TATTTTACTAATTAATTAGTTTAAAATAAAAAGATAAATTATTTTATATAAAATCTAAAAATAGATATATTAAATATTTTTAAATATAAGTAATATACATATATAATGACAAAATGTCATTATATATATGTAAGTTTTTACTATTATTTTTTTATAATTATTTTATTCAATAAATAATTATTAAAGAAAAGAATTTGTAAATATTTATTATATAATATATTTTTTTTGTTTACGGTCTTAGAATTATTTTTATTATAAAATAGTTTTATAATAAAAAAATAAACACTAATTATTAAAAAATAATAGTCTTTCAAATAGATCAATCTGAAAAATTTTCATATATTTAATGTTTTTATTTTTTATTTTTTATTTTATTGTAAAGAGAATTCTATTATAATCTAAAACTACAAATAATACAAATATTACAATATTTAATATTGTAATAATATATATAATTACAATATTAATATATATAATTACAATATTACAATATTACAAATATACAAATATACAACAATAATACAAATATTATAATATTTTAATTATTATTTTATTAATATTTTAAATATTTAATAATACATAAATATTTTAAATTTCATTTTTAATAGTTATTTATTGATTAAAATGATTATAAACATATAAGTTTACTATACATATACATATACCTAAATGATAATTTTACTTACGAGATGAAGATAGGATACATGAGAGTATTAACTGTAATTTCTATATTTGGCGATTGCCATTGTCGTAAAACAGGATGAAAAATACCACTGTGAAGAGTATGTTTTGCTTCTACTTCTGCCATTTTATTCTTGAAATATGATTCTTCATTCATTTTAAATTGTATTTTATACACGTATAACCTAACCTATATCTTTTTCATAATCTAAAGGAGCCTTCGTCTATATATATCGTTTTGTTATTCTATATCTCTATTATTTTAAATATTATATAATTAACGTTTTATTATTTTTTATGTATAAATAAATATAAAATATAATTTTATTCACAAACTTGATATAAACAAATGAAAATTAATATTATATATAAACAAAAATTTTTTACATTTTAATTGTTTACATTTAATAATTAAAAATAGTTAAACAATTTACATAGAGATTTTTATTACAAACTGTATATTTTCTAAAGACGGAACTATATTTTAAATTGCAAATTAGAAACTGTTTGTCAGCATGATAAGCTAAAAAAATAACGACAAATAAAAAATGAAAAATTTGATAGGATTTTTTAAATAAATATATTGTTATCCTTATTCAAAAATTATTTAAATAATTATATATATATAATTATAAATAATTATATTTTAATAATATATATTAAAACTATTTATATATATATTGAAATTATAAAAAACTAACTCTTTTATAAAAATCTTTTATAAAAAAAAAGCTCTTTTATAAAAATTATAATCATGATATGCTGCTTCATAAAAACCGTTTCATTATATACAAAGTTATTAATTATAAACAAAATGAATTTATTGTTAACACATTATATTTTTATTTTTTTTTACCGAAATTTTTAACAATTTCTGATAAAAAAGGAATGAATATTTATCTGTAAAAATTATATATAAAATTATATTTGAAAAGACTTGCCAAATTGAAAAATAATAAAATATATTATAACATAAAAAAATAAATAATAAAATACAAAATCATATTAAATAAGAAAAATGTCTGAAAAATGATTATCTTGCTATAAATAAAAAATAAATAGCATTTATAATTATATTCAAAATATAAAAATATTTCATTTCATAGTTGATTCAATGAATTCTATTGTTTTGTTGCTACAAGACTTCACAATATAATAAATCTATTATTTGATCATTGCTCATATTGGCAATATTATATAATTTTATTACTATAATTTAATTATATTAATATCAATTAATATTTATTTCATTAAATTAATTATATAATTAATTATATTTTAATTATAATTATATATAATTATGTAAAATAATATATATGTATATATTATTATTATTATTATATTATAATATATATTATTATTATGATTTTATATATTATAATTATGACTTTATTGATATTATTATTTAATTATATATAATTTTATTACTAATTTTCATACACAAATATTCATTTTTTTTCTTTCAAAAAAATTATTAATTATTAAAAATTGAAGATTTTGATTAAAAATAAAAAATAAAAATATAATTTTATTTTATTTATTATGTATATAAATAATATAATAATTATTATAATAATATAATAATATTTATATAATAAATTCACTTTATTTATACATAATGAAATGATTTATAAAAATATAATTTTTATCATAAAATAGATATATTTTTATGTATTTATTTTCATGTCTTTTTTCACTATTTTCATTATCACATATTGTACTATGTTATTAGATGAACATGATTGTTAACCACTCTATCATTAAAAATGATTCAATTCCTCTGTAGCGAATTTCTATCGGAAGGGGATATTATCTCGATGACATATTATCTTCATTGTCATTGCGTCATTAAACAAAAACACGTAGTCCGCCAAAACCAAACATCGCATCACATATCGTATCACGTGATGTATTTTTTAATGTGACAATGAAGATAATGTGACGTCACATATTCTCCCGGTATATTATTTGCTATAGGGGAATAGAATCACTTTTAATAGTAGAAGGGATAGCGTACCATATCCATCCGGCAACTAATTTTGTGAGTAACTATGTTTGTAATCTTATCTATATGATTATCTATGTGATTTATAATAATGCTTCATGAAATGTGAAGTTAGTTTTCACAATTTAATTCATAAGATAGAAGATGAATAATATTTACATAATTAAATAATTCAAAAATTTTGAGAATGTCACAATTTATAATTAATAATCGGAAGCGGCAAGAAGACGAAATTTTAGTACTTTCAAATATTTATAACTATAATGAATTTTCATACAGTAAAGAAGATATAATTGAATGTTATAATATATTTCCTAGTATTGATGAGGGTGAAGTTTTATTAAAATTTAAAAATATTTATGAGAATGATTTTCATTCATTTTCTAATTATTTTATCAAACATTTGCCACCCATTAGAATGTATTTATAACTGACTGTTGATTATCCAAGTAAAAAATCACTAAATTTTTATATTATTACTTCATGGCTTTCTCCTTGGCAAATATTTTTTATTTGTCAAAAATTAGATGAAATATGGCTAGATAATAAAGGTCAAGAAATATTGTTTTTATAGTTTGAATTTTTAAAAAATGATATTCTTTATTTTCTTAAAATTGAAGATACATTAGATATTTCATTTATGTACATGGTATATCATGATATGACAGATTATTTTAAGTTAATTTTCTCATTTGGAAGCGATATTAGAACTAAATTTAGTACATTGTATTTTGCTCCATTAAAATTTTTAATAGATTATGATAAATATAAAGAAGAAACTGAATTTGAGAATAATTATTTTAAGTGTATTATATGTTTTAAAGAATATGTGGTAAACATTGCATAAAACTTAAAAATTGTAATCATATATATTGCAAAGATTGCATACATACGTATATATCTATAAAAATTAATGAAAATAATATAAATAATATTCTACATCCTGATTTAAATTGTAATTTTAATATTACATTTAATGAAATTAAGAAATTTTGTCCAAAATCATTTTCACAATATGAAAATATGTTATTAAATGTGATATTAAGAAATATAAAAGATATTATCTTTTGTCCTAGAATTTTATGTCAATGTCCACTTGTAAAAAATAATAATGATACATTAGCAAAATATAGTAAATGTGATCATATTTTTTGTATTTATTGCTATAAGGTATAATAATTTATAATTAAAAAAAAATAAATTGATTGCATCTTAATACTTAAATATATATTAGGTATATCATGGAGCAAACCTTGTTTTATGAATTCAATTAATATATTAAATTTTATTGAAGTATATATATCGAAATAGTAATAAATATCAACAAAAATTATTACAAAAAAAATATGGCATAAAACAAATTCAATTAGTTGCAGAAAAATTTTTAGTAGAAGAATATTTAAAGGTATATATTAAATTTTATCAATAAATAAATATTTAATTTATTTATATTTATTTATATATATTATTAATAATAATTTATATTCAGTTACTTAAAAAAATATTCAGACACTAACATATGCTTAATTTTGATAATTTAAATTATCTTTGTTAATTATAAAAATCTTTTGATTTTTTATTTTTAGCATATATTAAATTAATAAATTGTTTATTTTTGCATATTATATATATTTTATTGTAAAATCACATGTAATATCTTAAATTTACAATGAAATGTTAAACTAAAATAATGAATTACAATTGAATTAAATTAAATATACAAGAATGCATATAAAAATAATTTAATAAAAATAATTTTTAATACTTTAAGAAACCAAAATAAAACTAAGATTTAAAATATATTATAGAACAAAGAAAATATTAAAATTAATAATTACTTTTATAAAATTTTCATAAAAAATTGTTATTTTGTTTTAATAAATTTTTCTTAGTGTCCTAATATTTTTATGAGTAATTAAATTTATTTTTATTTTTTATATTAATAGTTGTACAATGTAATATTATTTACAGAAATATACTAAATCATGTCCAAATTGTTCAACTATGATTGAAAAAATAGATGGGTATAATAAAATGAAATGTATCATCAAATCATTGCAATGCTTATTTTTGTTGGCTTTGTGAATCACATATAGCAACGAAAAATGCATATGACCATTCTTTAGCTACTGATAATAATTGTTACAGACATTTATTTGATGAAGAAAATAATCAACTATAATGTAGTAAAGAAGAGTATATACTTTTTGGACCAAAAACTTATATGTAAAAAATGAATTTCAAGTATTTTTGGTTAAAAAAAATATAAATATATTAATATTTTTTTTAATATATTAATTTACTATAAATAATATATAACAAATAATTAATTTAAGTATAAAATATACAAAATATTATAAAATATTATTATATAAAATATTTAAACAAAATAATACTTTACTTATTAACAAATAATAGTAACTATTTTTAGTAGTATAAATGTTTGATTTAAGCATCTCTTGGCATATGAACTTCAACAGTAGCTTCTGTTATTAATTGGTCTGCGACAACAGAAACTGTTGATTCATGTCTCTGACTATGTATTATGTTATCTAAAAATTATACAATAGTACTAAAATATTATTTCTAACAAATATTTGAAATTTTACCTGCACATTCTTTATCACAGTCTAATAATATTTGTCTCTTATAAAATCGTTTCATGTTAAGTTCTATAAGTTGTGGACCAAATATCCAATATCCAAGACATGCTCCCAGCACAATAGTAATAGTGATATATACATTATATGTCATAACAGCTAACATTAAAAGATAACCAAGAAATGTATGTATAAACCAATGAAATATTTGGAAACTCCATATACACCATTGTATACTACAAAATAATACATAACATTAATTTATAATAACATCAATTTGTTTCTATAATTTAAAAATTTGTAAAAATATATATATAAGTTATTAATATAAATGATACCAATGTAAAGAAATTTTTGTTTTAATGTTGTTTGAGGATATTTTAGACAACAAACAAGAATTTTCTGATAATCTTGGGGTTTGTTTCTGTAAAAGGCTTGTTGTATTTTGTTGTAACTTGATTTGTAAAACTTTCATACCCTCATATAATATTGCAATTGCAAATAAACCTAAACAAGTACAAAAAAAACTGAAAATTGTAGCGACATTATATCCTGGTAAAAAAAAATTGTCTAAATTGTTTCCAAACCAAAACCACATATGCATCTATAAACAAACAGATTAATACTTCATAATATTAATAAAAAAAATATATAATTATAGGATTGTACGTACCATAATCAATTTTATTCTATTTTTCCATATAATGAATTTTAAGATAATTAATCGAAATGATAAGAATTGTAGATAAAATTGTCTTTTACATTCTAAATAGCACCTAGCTTTACCTAATTATTCACTAATGACTTAACTGTACATTATTTACATTATTTAATTTTATAAACAATTGTAGGATTCTTAATTTATATATAATTATAATTTTTTATTTTGATTATAAATTTATAATACATAATAAAAATATCAATTTTATGATATTTAGTTCACAATATCATATTTTCGAGAAATATAATTAATATATAAAATATCGTATAAAACTTGAATATAGTAGTACAAATTCATATATAATAAATGACCATTTTGTAATTAAATATAAAACACAATTGCAACATAAAATTGTATCTAGTAAGTTTGTTAACTTTATGTTGTTTAAAGTTGCTAGGATACAGGTCATGTGATACTATATAATATGCATATCACTTTTAAATCTTTTTGATTGTCAAACAAGTTTTCAACAAATCCAAAGAAAAAATAGAAAAATGGTGTGATCATCTATATTGTTTTTAAATAAATATTATTAAAATAAAACATAGGAAATTTGTGGCTAAAGTAGTGTATTGGAAATACATTGATCGTTCATTGGTCAACGAAGTAGAGAAAAAATTGTTTATGAAAATACATATAAAAATTTAATTAAAATCATTATTATAAATATTAATATTCAATAAACAGGTACTAAAATTTTGTTAGCACTATATAAAAAATTTTTTAATTAAAAATATTTAAATAAAAGAAAAATTTATAAAAAGAAGCCGGAAGGTGGCGGATAGAATAAGGGTACGACAGCGCTATCTACATCATTGGGACGAGCAAGCGTGGCTAATCAAAGCACCAAAAGGTAAGCCGTAAAGGCTGTTTATTTTTGGGTTTTCATTCGTCCTACAAGGTTTTTTCTCGAGTAATGTGCTTCCTGGCTGTGTCGGACTGTACATCGTGTTTGAAAATCAGTTGACGAAGCAGCAATGACCACGGAAACGTAGGTGAACTGCCGGATAGGCTGTAACGTCGAGCATCTCGCCTAGTAAAGTGAAAACTCCATTTGCTCCCCTCACTCTCAGCTCCCCATACCTAGCCTTTCGTTGGCGCCTTTCTAACCAATTGCCAGGCGTACACTAAGCACTGACGTCGTATATATGTGTGCATAATATACGGAGATTCGAGAACTTTTTTGCGCACGTACCTTTACGTATTATATACGAATCCTGCGCTCTTTTATCGCGGTGATCACTTTTACTCTATATATCGATAAAAAAATATTTCTTCTATTTTTTTATTCATAGGAAAATGAGCAGTTCTGAGGAGGTATCCTGGATTTCGTGGTTTTGCAATCTCAGGGGAAATGAATTTTTTTGTGAAGTAAGTATTCTCTTGTTACCATAATATTTGATTTTAATTGCATATATTTTAACATGTCTTATTTTTCTATAATTAAAAATTTTGAAATTGTTGATTTAAATGAATTTCATTTCATTACAATTTTCCATAACGTTTTGTTTTTAAATAATATTGAATGATAGTATTTAATTTATAAAATTTGATAATTTTGTACAAACATATAATTTCATGTATTATAAATATTAGTAATTTATTATAATTAATTACAATATTTCTATAGGTTGATGAAGATTATATTCAGGATAAGTTTAATTTAACCGGACTAAATGAACAAGTACCACATTATAGGCAAGCATTAGATATGATTCTTGATCTTGAACCTGGTAAATATATTATTTATACCTTGCCAGAAAATATCAAAGTACTTTTAAGCTTGTTTTTATTCTGTAGATGATGAATTGGATGGCCATCCAAACCAATCTGAATTAATTGAACAAGCAGCAGAATTACTTTATGGATTAATTCATGCACGTTACATTCTTACTAATCGTGGCATTGCTCAAATGATTGAGAAATATCAATCCGGAGATTTTGGTTATTGTCCACGTGTATATTGTGAATCCCAACCTATGTTGCCTTTGGGTCTTAGTGATGTTCCTGGAGAAGCAATGGTTAAAAGTTATTGTCCCAAATGTATGGATGTTTATACACCAAAAAGCTCTAGACATCATCACACAGATGGAGCATATTTTGGAACAGGATTTCCCCATATGCTTTTTATGGTTCATCCAGAATATAGACCCAAACGTCCAACAAATCAGTTTGTACCTAGGTAAGTTATAAGAAATAAAAAATAATTTTCATTTTAAAAAGTTTTTGTAAAAATCATATAAAAATTTGTTTGAATTTTAAAATAATAATAAATTTATATTTCTAATAAAATTATATAAAACAAAAAATGATCTTTTTACAGGTTATATGGCTTTAAAATTCATCCTCTAGCATATCAGTTTCAACAACAATCTGCATCAACATTTAAAGCACCATTGCGAGCTGTTAATTATAATAATGGAAAACGTTAAGAATATTGCAACATAGTCTAGAACATTTTTTCATTACTTAAAATACAATTCCTAATTTCGTCCCTAAGGATTAAATAAAATATTATTTTTTATATTGATCTTTACACATTTTAGCAAGGCGCTGAAATACCAATCGTTTTGTTTGATCATTTTATAACTAAAAGTTTGAATATGGCATTCGATACTTTTCGGATTTTTCCACGGTATTTATATGCCGAAAAGATTAAAGAGTGGTATATCAAACTGCCAATGTTTACCAAGCGCCATGTTCATTTTTATTTCAGCTTTAGTAACAATTTTCTTTTTGTTAAAAATCATATTTGTATGGTTATATCAATTCTGGTCGAGTGAAATAACAAAAATGAAATGCATACAAAACATAATTACTAGGGACTAAAGATGCAAAATAATGATGAAGTATATCTGTTTAAATGTTTTGCATCTTCGTGATTGCTTCCTAGTAATTCCTAGAATACAAATGAAGATCGATCTCGAAATAGAGAAGCAAGTAGCAACGAATATCGGTCGTTTTTTTAATAAAAAAAAAAACGATACATAAATTAATTAATTTGTTAAATATAATTTAATTTAAATCTTAAGTAAGCTACAAAAAAGCAATTTATTTATACATAATTTACCTTAATAAAAACTAAGCTCAGATAAACAGAGTATAAAGAAAATTTAAAAGTAAAGACTGCATATTATTCTATAAAATCTTGTTTTTTACTACAATTCTTTGAAAATGTATTATATGCAATTTTTAGTGACCAGAAACAAAATTCCAGAAATTCTTTAAGTATGATATATATACAAATAATAATATAATAATGCATATTTTAATATAGTACAATAAAATTGTTTTTCTTTATTATGATTATTACAAGTGTTCAAAATTTGTATTAAACCAAATAAGTTATGTATTTTTAAACTTAATAATTTTTTTAAACAATATATTTAAACTAAATTAAAATTATTTAAAAATAAGATGCATAAATGGAAAAAAGGACAATATTTTTCATTTTATTATATATATTCTGAATATTTTAGATATGTATATTCTCACATTTTTTTCAATATCGATTTTCAACATTGTATATTTATCTACTTTAATAATTGCATACAAATTTTAAATTCATTGTAAAATATGAAATTTCAAAATAGTTAATTTTTAAAATTTTAGCAAAGTAAAACTTATTCATAAAATTTAAGCATTTATAATATTTAAAAAATATGTATTAGTAAAAAAATTGTATTTTATGTTAAAATCAATGATTGTTTTTCAGTCATCTATTATATATCATACACTTTCAATTTATTGTCAAATATAAATATAAGTCATTGTAATATAACATAACACACTGTAACATGTCATTATGTAAAATATTAAAAAACATTATTTTTATGTTAATTTCATTATATTAATTTAATAAAAAAAACCTTTTAATGTTAACTATGAATTATATATTTACAATCAATTTACGTAAAAGCGCTAATTCAGTTCTGAAAAATATCCCTAAATTTACAAAATTATGTATTGCAACACTGTTAACGTTAACCAATCAACGTTCATGTTTGAAGTTTGAATTTTATGACGTAAACGAAAAACCAGTATAATATGAAACAAACAGTTTGAAACTATAAAAATTAATTATGAATTTTAATGAATATATTTTTCAAAATTAAGTGTTTTTGATAGTATTTAATGAAATGTGTTTTATATTCTTATTAATACATTCAAGAATTATTTATTGAATGTTATGAGTCAAGTGATTTTTACAATCATAAATACGATAATGCTTGCTAATCAACAAAGTGAAAATAATTACAATTGTTTTGTTTTATTTGATCCTCAAGAAATATTAATAATTTTTAAATATATCAGACATCACTTTGAACATCCAATTATTTTAATAGATTTGGATATTTTGAAGTGATATATTTTACATGCATATATCTTTGTTATTCTTTTTACTAGTATAAATTAATTAAAATTAATTAAAAGAAGAATAAATTTATATATTTTTTAAAATGTCAGATTTATCAACAAATGACAGGCTTATGTTAAATAACATGGATTTCCAAAATCATACCAATTCACGTCCAAAATTTCAACCAATACGAGTGAAAGAATTATTACATTTTTGTGAAAGCGATGATGATGAAAGTGAGGACAGACCACAAGATTCTGATATTGAATCAGATTTTGATGATCCTCAACCTTTACCACAAGATGATCATGTTGAACATGATTCAATTCAATCATTATCTTTGCTTAATGTAACATCTAATAAATTAAAAGAAATTTGTAAAGAATCCATATCATTTAATAATATTGTAAAATGTGAGCCTGAAATTAAATCAACATTTCATGAATATGAACATAATATGACAAATGAAAATGTGAAATGTGAACATTCAAATCAAATGCAATTAAATATTCAAACTAATGCACAAGAAAAACTTTCACAAACTGAACACAAAAATAAATACATTACTAATATAGAAATTAAAGAAGAAATTAAAGAACAATTGACTCAAGATCAATTTTTAGACCAACAAACTTCTTGTAAAATGAACAATAATACTGAATCTATTGCTTCTACATTTCAATATTTTGAAAAGGTACCACAATTTGGAATGCATAATTTGCAGAATATAAATTGCAAAAAAGAAGCATTAGAAACAGTAGAAGAAAAATTAGCATCCATAGCAAGTGAAGAGAAAATTCATTATGAAAATGTATCTTCCAAGGGTAAATCATTAATATCAGATACAGGAACATTTGTTAATTCTATTGATCAATGGTTACAAACTCCTTTAAAACATGCATCTAATTCTATACATTCAGATCCATGTTTCTCTCGTAGAAATATTATTCAAACTCCACAAAACAAATTATCAGATCCAACCTCTAAAGATCATAGTTTAGCTTTAACAGTTTCATCTCATTGGTCTCAAAATAATATAAAACAAACTCCATTACAGAACAAGAATATTAATTTCAAAGATTCTATGCAAACTCCAAAAAATTCTTTTTATCTTACATCAACATCAAACATAGGAAAGAATGAAACTCCAAGGTATATATATTAATATAATGTGATTTTTTTAGATAGTGTTAATATTAATTTATCTTTCTTATAAACATACATAATTTTAGATATTTCGATACAGGAGGAAAATTAAGAAAGCCTTTAGCAGACACAGGAAGTTTTACACAAAATGATGCTTATAATAAACATTTATTACAAGGATCTCAATTTCCTAAGGTAAATGAAGAAACACCTAAAATTCAAAATAAATTATCACATGAAAATTTAAATAAAACAGATTTGTCAAAACAAATATTTGATACATCAGAAAATGTTGAACATCTGGAATTAAAAGAAAAAAAATATAATCAAAGTAAAAAGGATAAGTTATTAGATAAAGAAACAATAAATAAAATATCAAATAAACATGTTCCACATTGTATCAAAAACAATAAAGAAACTGTAAAACCAGTATATCAGAATCAACATTCAGAAGTTAGTAATCAAAATCAACACCAAGAATTTAAAAAAGTTATAGATAATCCATTAAATTTACAATTTTCAATGCCATCTAATATTCCAAAATCTAGACAAAATAGAACTCTTTTTGTTAAAGGAAAAGAGTATTTAATTTTGGGTACACTTGGTCAAGGTATGAGTGGAGAAGTTTTAAGAGCACAAGATTTATCTTCTCTCGAGTTATGTGCTATTAAATGTGTTAATCTTAATCGTATGGATAAGGACTCAGCACAAGGTTGCTTAGAAGAAATTTCAATGTTACATAAATTACAAGCACCATGTGTTGTTAAAATGTTTGATTAGTAAGAAATTATTTTACAAAAATATATATTATATATATATATATATATATATATATGTATTGACATTAAATTCAAGTTTTTTATTTTAGTGAAATTAAATATCCAATGGTATATGTAGTAATGGAAATGGGAGATACTGATCTCAGTCGTCTTTTAAAAACAACATCTCAAGAAAAACAAATTCCTCTTACAATGATTTTATATTATTGGACAGAAATGTTAACAGCTGTTAAGCATATACATGATAATGGTAAATATCTTAATGTAAAAAAATCATTTATTAAATAGTTTATATATAAATAATTCTATTTCATATAAATTTTTAGGAGTAATTCATTCTGATTTAAAACCAGCAAATTTTTTATTAGTACGGGGACGATTGAAACTTATAGATTTTGGAATTGCTTCTAGTATGAATGCTGATATGACATCTGTTGTAAAAAATTGTCCAATAGGAACTTTAAATTATATTAGTCCAGAAGCATTAATGGATATTGGTGGAAATTCAGATTCTCCTACACAGAATGTTAAATATAAAGTATAAAAATAAATTTTTTATATATAAAAATAGAGATTAAAGAGAAAAATTATATGCAAATATTTATTTTACAGATAAGTTTTAAATCAGATGTATGGTCTTTAGGATGTATTTTGTATAGTTTAGTATATGGTCATACACCATTTCATCATATTCGATCACAATGGGCTAAAGTAAATGCTATAACCAATCCAAACTTGAATATTCCTTTTCCTAAATCTCTGTCAGAAGATGGTAATAAAGTTACATTTTCACCACAAATTTTAATTGATGTAATGCGAAAATGTCTTCAACATAATCCAAAAGCACGACCAACAGTAGCTGAACTTTTGGAAGTAGAATATATTATGACTACAGGAGAACATACTTCAACACCTCCTGAAATTCCAGCAAATATTCTAGTGAAAATAAAGCATACATTAAATGAGGACGAATGGCGGCAGTTAACATGGGTTTGTAATAATTTTTATAATACTATTTGTAATATTGATATAAAAAAAATTATTTTGTATATAAATTTTACTTATATTACAGATTTTGGAGAATAGAAGATAGATATAAATGAAATACTTCTAATTATCTCAGATTAAATATTTCTAATTATGTACATAGGTTTTTTTATACATAATAATTGGCAATAATAGAAGGCTTATTTAAATATATATATATATAGTAAAGTATGGAATTATTTCACAATAGTTGTTAAAAATATGAGATTGTACCATGATACGATTTTAATTTGAAGTCTACTTATGTTTATTTATATGATATACATTAAGTAGACACATTATTGTAAATGAAACACGGGTGACTATTAAATTAAAATATCTTTCATTTTATTATCACACATTCATGCATACAAATGACTTTTTTAACAGAATTCATAGCATTCACGAGTAACTATTGTGCTAGACAGCTGCATGATTGGAAATCTAAAAATACATATCTACATGTTGTTCGTGAAATAATGTATGCCGAATCAATTCCATTGCAATTATTTTTAGACTTTAAATAATACAAAAGTATGCAATATTTTCATACTACCTTTTAAACGTATAAAAAAACGCAAAAAGTTTAGCATCATTTTCTTTGCGTTTTCATTGAAAAACAGTTCCCTTTTTGATAACGATGCATATTGCACAATATGCATATATAATGCATAATTTTAATATCGCCAGTCAGTGCATTGTTGTTAATTGCCAATATTGCAATAGCCTTTCACCTTTTGGTAATGCCATAGAATTGGGTCTTTCAAATGTTAACATAATATCTTTAACCTTATTTTTTAATTCACTATCAAATAAATGTCCTCCGGTACGTTCTAATGCTGATGCCATGTCATATTCTACAGAAGGGAGAGGTTCGCGAATGAAACGTGCAGCACTAGCAATACTTGGTACTATATGCCACTGTAAAGCTTTGATTTCCCAAAGACTACTAAGAAGTGCATTGCTTAATAAAGGATCTCGTTCTTCCATTAAAAATGGATCTCCTGCATAATTATTTTCTTCTGATGAAATTTCTCCTCCTTGTGGATGATCAATAAGACGTTTTAATCCAGGGTGCCTAAGTAAAAGATTTCCAACAAAAAGTAAAATAATAAGAATATCTTCAGGTGGTGCTACAAGAGTCAAACGTGCGAGTCTCTTTGCAAAGGCAGCGACTAATGCTTCTGGTAAGTGTCTAAAAAAAAGAATATATATATTTTTATAATTAACTATTATATAATTTATAAAAACAAAATATTTTTAACTATTTTAAGCACTTACGTTGAACTGAGAAAAAGATCAGATAAATAAAATAAACGTGCTTTATATTTTGTATGAAAAATTTCTGGTTCAAACATAGAATAAAGTTTGGTAAAAATATTTGGATATTCCAAATTATGTTTGGTAACTAGTAAAAATACACCTTGCAATGCAAGTAAACCAATAGGTCCATCTGCATCCAAGGAATCCATAAGAAAATCTGTTAATAAAACAGGTTTTTCTAAATGTGGCATAACTCTTTCTAAAAGAACTATTAATAATTGTTTATGTAATTGTGGTGTCAATTCCCAATGCATGACACAAGCCCAGACTTTATTCAATGCACGTCTTGCTCCAGCTTGATCCCATATAAAATTCTTAGTAGCTAAAAAAAAAATATATATATTTAAATTAAAAATAAAATAAAAATTAACTAAATATAAAAAAAAAGCATAACACCTATATCCTTATTACCTTGATGTGGTTTACACAATAAATTCTTATTTTCAGATATCTCATTTTCTGTAATACAATTATTAGAAATTAATTCTAAATATAATAAAATATAATCTATTTAATTTAATTTATTTTATACCTTCAATTTCCTTTGGCAGTGATAGTTTATGTATAAGTTCAAGCAAATTTTTAATATAAATTTCATGTGGTTGTCTTTTTGGAGTAAGAGATGGAAGACATTTCCACGTATAATAAAGAGCATCAGGATATTCTATAATTTCTTGAAATCTAGATATTAAACCAGCATTGTCCTTCTCCGGCGAAAGCAATTTCATTAAAATAGGCTTTAACCGATGCAATGGAAAATAATATCCCAAATTGCCAATTGGTTCCAATGGATTTTTACCTTCCTCAGCCATAAGTTTTATAGCAGTAGTAAGAGCTTGTAATTGAATGGCAGGTCGACATTTTTCCATTGATGTAAGTATCTTTTCCCATATTTCTTCGTAACAGTTCCTCAACCAGTTGATGTATCTTGCTTCAGGACTTGGCTCTGTTTCATAAATCTTATGGAAAAGCTATTCCATGTTTTTAAACATGTACAAAATCAAAATATATATATATCTTTACATTTAACTTTGTGTCCAAAATATTTTTTCACAAAGTATTATACATGTAAAAATTTATAATTCTTACCATGAAATTTAAAAATGAATGAAAATATCAAATACTGTTCACACACACAACAATTAATTGGAAAATATTAAATTTTATATATAAATTTTAACATACCCGAAATAGTAAGTGATATTGTACGCTCCAAATACATGTCACCTCTTTTCAAAACTTCGACAAATATTGTTTCTATCGTAAGTAGACAAGACAAAGTGGATTCCTGATAGAGTGATCAGGAATTTTAATAAATGACATAACCTTAAAAAGTTGATACATTCATGAATTTTGAAATGGTTTTAGAATTTGTACTTACATCCCATTGAGAAATTATATCTACTAAATTATTTGCATGTTTTCTTGAAGTTAAAAATTCCTGTGCTTTTTGCCTTAAAAGTTTTGACGACATTTTTTGAGTGGAAGCGCCGGGAAGTTCTGCTGCATCCGCCATCGTTGAACATGAATTCAATAATGGCAGAAGATATCAAGAATATGCGAATATATTTTTTTATACCTGTATTCTTTTTTTTGAAATTACTTTATCCTGTAAATCTAAAATATTTTATTGTAAAAAACAAATTAAATGTGATGAATATTGATAATATATATTATCAATATATATATGAATAATATTATCTGTATTAATTAATTCTCATTCAATTTAATATTCTACTACCAACTTCTTTATTTAAATGATTAATTTAGTATTCCCTTACCAACTTCTTTATTTAAATAATTAACATCTTTTATATTAATTTGATTTGAATAAATTAAATATACTTCGTGAACATCTTTTATGAACCAAATTATAATATTGATTTTTATTAAATTATCTATTTATAAAAAAAATGACGTTTCTTAATAACTAATAATAAAGTAATTTCAATCATAAATAACTATAATTATTAACTAGATAACAAAAAATAATAAAATAAGTTACTATGTTTTACTTTACTTCTACGAAGTTATTAAAAAACAAATTTAACTTTACGAGTTTCTTTTTTTTTTATAGTTTTTTTTTTATATTTTCAATATCCAATTCAACATTATTATCCGGAACATTTTCAAAGAATGTTAATTTTAATTTATTTATGGTAATTTCTATTGTTTTTCCTTAATAATAATTTATATATCTTTCAATTATTTAAACAAATATATATACATACATATATAAAATAAAATAATATGAATACATATATAAATATATATAATTATCTAAATTTGTATGAACAAAAATTTTTTATTTCGAATGATGTAAGAATCGATTCAGTTTTCTTAGTTCTTCAAAAATTTGAGAACATCTAATAGGTTCTTCTGCAATAAAATATTCACCGGATATTTTTGAAATAGTTCTAAAAATTATTTCTGTTGCTGATGCTATGAAATTTTCTTTAAAGTTAGATATAAAAAAATTGTAAGAAGAATATTCATCGAATTTTTAGTGATGTAATATATAACAGCACATTTAAATGAACATAAAAAATATGTACAGAAATATGTACAGAATATTAATATATTTGTCGGACATCTTTGAAGGATCGATTCTAGAGACCAAAGTAAATATTAAAAATTAGCATATAAAAATATTGGAGTTTATTTATTAAGATATAATTAAAGTTAAATAAAATAAGAGTTTTATGAAAAATGAGATAATTCTTTTATGCTATTCTTTCATTCTATCTTTACTTCATTTAATTAATGTAAATTTAAATTGTTTATAATTTAATAACTTAAACTTTTATTAACATTTTAACTCAATTTTTGTATTTATTTCCATTAATAATTATTTTCATTTAAAGATGCTTTATAAAGATGCTAATATCAAAATACTGTATATTATAAATAAAATTATTTTTTCTAAATATTAAATAACATATATATATTTTTGTGTTCTTAATAAACTTGTAAAAAACTTGTGTGAAAAAGAATGTTTTTTTATAAATATCATAAGATAATTTCAATTATAACTAGGGTAATTGGATAAATAAGATAAAATTATGAATTTTAATATTACGTGTAAACATAGCTTTAATATTAACATTGTGAGTTTCCTAACACTGATTGGTATCAATATACTTAAATGTATACATAAAATAATTTAGAAGTTCGATTATGAGCAACTTAAATTGAAGTATTTCTTTTTAAAATACGCACAAATAAAATTTATTTTTTAGTAACGTTAATATAATAAATAGTAAGTAAATATCATATATATATTAGAAAAATTTATGTTTGAACAAGAAATATTATATATACTATAAACCGTTACAAGATATACAAGTAAATGAGGAAAAATTGAAAACGTTTTGTTCATTCTAATAATATTTTATAATTTACAAAATTATTAATATTTATAATATAACAATTTTTATGATGGATATTTCTATAATTCAAGATTTCTTTTTTAAATAATCATTTAATTTAAAGAAATAAATTATATATTTAAAATTATATATAGGTTATTTTATACTATTAATAAATATATAGTTTTAAATATCTAACTTTTACTAATATAAGTATATATTCATTAACATTAATAAGAAATATATAATTAATAGAAAATCTAGTTTTTATTAATTATATATTTATTGATTATTGTTTTTAGTAATATTTAAAAATAATTTTGAATTCTACTTACATTTTGATTAATTTTAACAAATATTTTGAATAATTATTTATTTTGACAAGCAATCAAAAATAAAAAAAATGTTAGAAATAACATGCAATGATCGTCTTGGAAAAAAAGTTAGAGTTAAATGCAATCCAGATGACACAATAGGAGATTTAAAAAAATTAATAGCAGCTCAAACTGGAACTCATTGGGAAAAAATTGTTTTAAAAAAATGGTATACTATATATAAGGATCATATAAAATTACAAGATTGTATCCTTTCAAATAAAATATATTTTCAATAAAATAACTGTTAACATTATATTTTCTTTAATTTAGCAAATCAGATGAAATTCATGATGGCATGAATTTAGAACTTTATTATCAATAATTAATATTTAACATTGTATAAATTAATGTGAGATATATATATATAATAACAATAATAAATTTTATATATTTAAGCATCTTTTGATTTTGCATTTTATACAATTTACATATATAATGTATGTAATTATTATACAATTAATGAACATAAATTATATTAAAACAAATATATATATAATAACTATACAACAGCAAAAACAAATAATTAATTTAAATTATATTAATTGATACTAATGAGTGTTTACAATCCAGAAATTTACTATTTAATATTGCTATTTAATATCTAAATATTGCTAAATTATTTTTATAAATTGAAATATATCTAGAAATATTTTTTGTTGAACTATAAAATGTAGTATTTTAATAACTTTTAAATTTCTATATATAAATAATACTAAAATTGAATAAAAAATATAACTTATAATATATATTTTTTTAAATTTAATTATCATTTCAACTATATTAACTTAATATAGAATTATGATGTTGAAAACATGATTACTGAAAAAAAAACAAAAAATACAATAACTCATTTAATTTTTTTAAGATTTTTAAAATTTTAGAAATTAATGTGGCCTCTTAGATAATTTTTCTGTCCTGTTTACTGAACTTTCAGGTTGGATTGTAACTCTACCTCTGTTGCTTAAGAAGTCTCTTATATGTTGCACTATCAAATCTATTGCCACTGTAACAAAATATAAAGTTCATATAAATGAGTGAAAGTAATTTTGTAATAATGGAGAACGTAACTTCTTTATTATTACTTCACTTATACAGTTTAAATAAACAATGTATCAAATTACATAATTCAGATTATAATTAATTTGTATAATGAAGATTTAATTGAGATTAAAATGATTTGAGCATATGAAAAATATAAATATTGAATAAACGGAATAGCACCATATTGAATAATGCAATTAAATGTTTTTGAATATGGCAGTATATGAATAATATGTTAATTTAAACTAAAAATATCACATTATTCAAAGAATTATACTAGGAAATATCTTATATTCGCTTAAATTATAAAATTTCAATTTATATACTGTTGCATAAAATAATTATTAATTGAGAAATAACATTATGTAAAAAAAGCTAAATTTTTGAAAACATACATAATTTTATATACATTGTATATTCATAATGATTCTTATAAGTAAATAATACTAAATTGTTTTTAACATAGAGCAATCTTATGAGTAAACTTGAATAATTATGCAATATTGGAATATTTAATATTTAAACGAGGTATTTTGTATAATTATACACTATATCCTAGTTTTAGGAATAGTGAAATCTTACCTAAGTAAGATAATGATTTAATAAGTACATACATACTAGAAGCAATATTGTTTGCGACTTAGTATAAATGTAATATAAATACGATTGTATAAGTATATAAGAGATATATTTTGTATTTAAAAAAGAAAAAGATTTAAGATTACTGCAAACTTTATCCTACATCAATATATAGTATATCAAAGTGTAATGTTTATAAGTGCGCATATCATGCTAAAATCATCTGCTGAGCGTTTCGGATGAGTTAGTCGAAGTACGCCTATGTTGATAGATGTATGGATGCTGCCTGGATGAGTTTTCAGCCTTTTTCAAACGCAAAATGTCCCAGATGTGGTGCACTATAAGGTCTATTGCCACTGTAAACATACAATAACCAAACCATGTACGTTCTTATATGACCTTCACTTTGCACTAACTTAAAAGATAACTTGTTTTAGCAGCCTTTACATACCAGGCAGCATCCATAAATGAATATGAATATATATATATATATATATATGCATATATATATATATATATATATATATACACACACATATATACATATATGAAGAAAAAATTTTAAGCTGCCTTATTAATCCAAATCTGCACCTGAAGTGTATTAGAGAATACACATTTTAAAATTATCATATAATAAGTAGATTATTATACATATTACAATACAAAAGATTATAATATTAGATTATATCATAATTATAAAAGTACAATTGATTTTTATAATCGATTAGGTGCAGATTTGATGAAGATGAATTTTGGTTATGATATAATGTAAATTATTTATATGATAGTTAATAACAGCCATTGCATATTTAATATTAAACAAATGTAATATAATATAAATAATTTATGTATTACTAAATTAAATTGTTTCATGCAATGCTTATATTATAATAATATAATTGAATTGATTTACCTGTATTGTCTGCACCTCTTGGTATAATAACATCAGCAAATTTTTTAGTAGGAAGACAGAATTCTTCAAATGCAGGTTTTACAAAATTCATGTATTGATTCAATACATAATCTAAGTCTCTTCCTCTTTCTTTTATGTCTCTTGGTACTGTAATAATTACAAACTAATAATATTCAATTTTTACAACAATATTTAAAAAAATACTTAAACATTTTTACCTCTTCTAGCTAATCTAGTATCTGAGTCAGTATCCACAAATAATTTCATATGAAATAAATCTCGTATTTTAGGAAAATAAAACACTAAAATACCTTCAAATAAAACAACATCAGCAGGATAAATTGTTGTAATTTGATCTTTCATTCTAAAATATCCGCCAAAAAATAATTAATGTAACATTATAATGAATATATATAATGAATATAATTGATTTAAATGATACATACAAACTGTTACTTCTATAATCATAGGCTGGTATTTCACATTTTACACCAGCTAATATATCTTGTAATGTTTGAAGTATCAAGTCATTATCAAATGCATCTGGATGATCAAAATTATATTGACCCTTTTCAGCTTTAAGTTTTTCAGCTGGTGATAAATCTCGATAAAAACTATCTTGTGAAATACAAACTACTTGTCGTTGCATATGATCCATATCTACTTGTCCTAGTTTTTCCATTATACGTTTACATACAGTTGACTAAAAAAAATATATACATAGTTGATTATATATAAAATGTTAGTTTTGCGATTGATACAATTTATGAATTTTAAATGCAGAGGTTAACACAAAAAATATATTTTGTTTAAAATTAAATAAAATTAAGATATTTTAAAAAAAATATGAAATAAATGTATTGCTTACTTTCCCACTGGCAGTACCACCTGAAACTCCAATTAAAAAAGGTGTTTTACTTTCTAAACCGTTTAACTTTCCATTAATACCAAAAGACATTTTTCGCGGAGTAACAATATTCATTGACATATCTGCCATTGTAAAAATTTTTTTTAGATTTTTTGAATTTGAATAAACAATTTATTTTAAAAATGACACTATAAGAATAGTTTTGCGCATAACACGAATGATTATAGTGTAAGAATCAGTAGAAATATAACATATATATAATCTGAACCACATAAATCATTACATTAAATACGCGCGCGCAGCAATGAGCGATATTTGAACAGAATACATTTATTAAGAACATTATAAATTATAAAATTGAATTTTATACAAATTAGGTTATTTATATGTATTTATTATATTTAATTTATACATTTTCATAAATTAATATTTGATTTTCATTGTTTAAATTAAATTAAAATATGTCATTTGCCTGTATACAACTTTTATCGAACTCTTTCATCACATCTCATCGATTTAAATATTATGTTTGATTTAAAAAGAAGAAATATCTATAACTTTGATTATTATTTGATGAATTATTAATATCGGAAATAATCAGGATCGATAGATCTAAAGTTCATATGATCGATATCATTGCACATTTGTGCATCTGGTCATCAATTTAGTTACTACATTGATTGCTTATTTTCATGAAAATGAATTTTGTTTATAAATTTTATCTCGGAAGCTATTTATTGAATTTTGAATTTATTTCTTTATTGTAGAGAATATTTAAAAAATTTGACTTATTTTAATATAATATTTTTTTATATAAATATATTAATTTAATTTTTTTTATATAAAATTTATAATATTTCTGCATTGTGCATTCAACTATGATTTTTGTAAATTTTAATTACATTTGGTAACTCGTTTCGTTGAACGGATTGTGATATTTATAAATTTAATATTTATTGAATTTTTATATTATAAAATTTATGAATTTATGAGCATTTTATTATTTTTATTATTTTGATTGATTTAGATTAGTAATGTATTAGTATTAGTAGTAAATTACTCCACTAGTATTATTTAAAATTAAAAATAATAATAAATGTAATTGCGAAATTGTAAAAATTATTACGTAATAATTTCATAATTATTTCATAATTAAATCATCATTGAATTTTTATAATCATAATTAATATAATTATAATAAAATATAAGGTTATATTTTTATTGATTATGTTTATATATTTTATATATGTTATATGTTATCGATTATATGTTAATTATGATAAATTACAAGGAATAAAGGTCAAATAATCTAATTTGAGCTAAATGTGTTGAACTGTTTTGATATTTATTTTATATTATTGTTTTGATATTATTCTGTAAATGATTACATAATATTGATTTTATCTTTATTTTGTCCAATAAAATAATGCGAAATACATTTATCAAACGTTATGTTTGCAGTATATCAAGTTATGAGGTAATTTAGTATATTTAATATAATTATTTAAAGTTACAATGAATTTATTTTTATAATATACATAAATATGGAACAAAAATTTAACAATTTTAATAATAATCCTTATGATGATAATTCATATGAGGTATAATATAAATTATTATTTTATTGATTTACATTAAATTAATTAAATGATAAAATAAAATATGCATTGGAATTATTTATTTAATTTATTTCTTTTTTTTTAAATAATTTATTTGTTTATAGGCAGCTATAAAAAAATTATGTGGTTTACAAAGTAATAGTACATATTTAAAATTAGCAACAAAAAATAATTCACAAACAAGTGATACTTATAAATTACTTGATACAATAAAATATTTAGTTCGGTAATAATTTTTTTTACATTAAATAGATAATATATTTTAAAAATATTTTAAACATTAAAACAATTTAGTAATTTTACAGGTCTGGTATTACACTTGAAAAGTTAGACACTTTATCAGTAATACATGTAGCAGGTACAAAAGGGAAAGGTTCTACTTGTGCATATACAGAAGCTATTTTACGTGAACATGGTTTCAAAACAGGATTCTTTAGTTCTCCACATTTAATTAGTGTAAGAGAACGCATAAGATTAAATGGACAACCAATAAGTGAAATGCATTTTACTCAAAACTTTTGGAAAATATATAAAAAATTAGAAGATACAAGAGAATATGAATCTGATATGCCTGCATATTTTAATTTTTTAACAGTTCTTATGTTCAATATATTTTTAGATGAACATGTTGATGTTGCTATAATTGAAGTAGGTATTGGAGGTTTATATGATTGTACAAATATTGTAAGAAATCCTGTCTGTGTAGGTATAACTAGTTTAGGATTAGATCATACTTCTCTTTTAGGTAATTCTCTTGAAGACATAGCTTATCAAAAATCTGGAATTTTTAAATCAGGAACTATTGCATTTTCTGTTCCACAATTACCTCAAGCAATGTATATATTAGAAAAAAGAGCAATTGAAAAAAACTGTAAGTTACATATTGTACCAACCTTTGATGAATATAAATGGGAAAATATTTCACCTACTTTGCAAATAATAAATAAAGTTCAACAACAAAATGCATCTCTAGCTATTCAGATGGCTATTGAATGGATACAATCTAAAACTGATAAAATTTCAAATGTTTTACATAATTCTATAAATAATAATATTTGTTGTAAATATAAAGAAAGTTCTCAAATAATTGTATCTATGGATAAGATAGCAATAGCTTTATCTTTTTGCAAATGGCCAGGTCGTATGCAAATTTTAAAAAGTAGTATTGGTGACTTTTTTTTAGATGGTGCTCATACAATCGAAAGTATTAAATGTTGTATTTCTTGGTTCAATGATATAAGTAATAAAAATAGAGGAAAAAGATTTCTTATTTTTAACACATCTGGTAATCGAGATCCAATTAGATTATTAATATTATTAAAATCTTTATATTTTCATAAAGTATATTTTGTACCAAATTTTGCTGGAATTAAAAGTTTAGATGATGAAGTAAATTGTTCTTTAATAGATGAACAAAAAAAAAAATGTGAAATGAATTCTAAAATATGGGGAAGAAATTCAGTGATTGTAAATAGTGTTTTTGAAGTTTTACAAGATATAAAAAATAATTCAGAACAAAATCAGATATTTGAAAAAAACCAGATATTAGTGACAGGATCCTTACATTTAATAGGTACAGTTCTTACTATTTTAGATCCAAATTTGACAATGAATACACAATTTTAATATTTTTAAAATTGAAATTATATATATATATATATGTAATTGTAAAATATATAAAAAGAACATTTTTTTATAAACGATAGAATTATATATTTAACAATTATATTAACAATTGTATCAATTCATGACAATACATTGATGATTAATATATAATAATACAGTAAGATATTGCATTGTTATAATGATCATAATCGGAAAGTACTTATTGATATTTTTTCGTAACAATTCCCTTTTGTACTTTAATATAAATATATTGTTCATAAAACTAAGTAATTGTAAAGTTTTAATAATTTGTACATATGACAAGTATGTATATGTTTATGAATTGTACGATACAGGAAAAATAGATGATATTAAAATAAAAATTAGAAAAAATGCTTAGAATATTTTGGTATGATAATCTAATTCTGATTCTGCTTCTGTGTCAGATAAACTTAAAGAAACGCCAGTTCTTCGTCGTAAACGATTTTCGTCAGGACTCTGAAATGTATAAAAATAATTTTAAAATGGAATGAAGTTTTGTATTTAAAGAATATCTATTCAATTTATATTAATACTTAATTTTTGATATTTATTATTATTGTCAAAAAGAATAGAAATTAATACCTGATCTAGAATACCGGCAGTGGGTTCAGAGGCATAACCTACTTCTTGTGCATCTTCTTCCAAATCTGCCTCGTATTCTTCTAATTCATCTGTGTCAGAATCAATTTCCAAATCTACATATATACTTCCTCTAGAGACTTTACACACCATTTGAGCTAAATCTGTAAAAGTATACGAAGATATTGATTGCTGATTTGCTGCTTGATGTTTTGCTCGTAATGCGCGGGCATTTTCTCTATCAGCATTAAAACGTGGTAAAACTCCAGCTTTTAATTGTCCTTCGAAATAAGTTTTTCCTATAAAAATATTAGATTATATATAATATAATGAAATTTAATATTAATTTTCTTCTTGAATAAATCATATATTCTAATATCTATTAATCAAATTAAAAATAAAAAAAAATATTTTATATAATTTCTTTATATATATTATATATAACATTATATATAATTATATATAATATTTATAAACTTTTGTCTGTTAAATATAAATATAATATTTACCATGTTGATATCCAACATCTTTAATTTCATCAAAGTTAGCGAATTGGAGAGTTTTATATTTATCTATTGGTGGCCTAATGTATTCACAGTAATCTGAACTTTTAACTTCTTCTAATTGCCGTACACAACTAACATATGCCAATCGTGATTGTATGTCAGGCAAATTTGGAACTTTGACAGGCGTTGCAAATGGATTCCATCGTTTCCATAATAACCACCAACCAGATAAAGAATCTCCATAATTTGTTAAATCCGTGTCATCTTGTGACCCAACATCAATAGCCAAAATATGATGCGCTCCTTGCCTCAACATTTCGTCAGCTTAAACAAAGAAATTATAAAACCATATATTGAAAATTGATTATGATAGACAAATTATTATTTCTATGACATAATAAACAATACAGGTTTAAGATACCTGGCACGTTATTAACATAACACCCATCGACCAAAAGATGCCCGTCAAGAGGGTCGCAAATAGGAGGAAAGACCCCCGCAATGGTCATACTGGCTCGAATGTATCTCCATAGCAAACCTGAGTTGACTTAGCTATTCAGGATTTGACAAATGCATCTTTTATCAACGGGAGTGAGCTTATATAATTTTCAAGTTTATATTATAATCTTAAGTTAAATTTATAAATCGTTTTGAACTTATATCAATGAAAGCAACTAATATAATTTCATTTTTTCATTGATATAAAGTTGTTTTTAATGTCCAGGTAATTTTATAAAACTAAAGAAAAAAATTATAAATATTTTCATCAAGAATATGTGTTTTCAACTCAAAGTATTTTTCAATAAGTATGTTAATAATAAATTTTATAGAAATAGAAGGCGCAAGATTTTGTTTTATATGATAACAAAGTTAGATGCATTTTTTAATGTGACGCTCAAATTACCTGGAAGGTTATTGACGTACCCGCCGTCGAGCAGGAGATGGCCGTCAACTGGGTCACACATGGGTGGCATATAACCAGACAAAGACATCGAAGCTCGAATGTACCGCCACAGCGATCCTAAACACGACGAATTAATTTCTTAAGTATTTATATATTTCTTTTTACTCTATATATTTTTCTACAAAATACATACTCTTAGAGCAAGAACCAATAACTTCAAAATTTTTTATTCATTATTATAAAAATATCTAAAAAAATTATTCTTTAATTTTTAAACGAAAAATAAAATTCGATATTTATCAATAAGCGATATAAAACGGAGAGTACGTCATTACGATTGAAAGCTCCAGAAAGCTCACTCCCGCTGTTCAAGCTTATTTCTATGCAGTGATATATAGTTATTTAAATTCAAAAAAATTTGAATTAGAATATATTTATAAATTCTATAAATTTCATTAAACAGCGAGAGAGTTTCCAGTTAATTAAAACTAGATCATTTAAATTTATATTTTAAATTTACATTATCAAAGAAAACTGGAAACTATCAGTGCTTTAAAAAATGTTATATTTTTTTCGTTTATGTACAGACCGTGTGTATGCGTACGCATACAAGAATCAGTGATGTCTGTAGTTAGTGTAAAGTATGGTAACCATAAATCTTCTATATATGTGTCCCCAAATGTTGCTTGAATTGTATTATTAAAGTCTTTTCCAGAAAACATAGATGTTACTGGATATGTTAAATCCATTATTTGTCTCCACCATTGTGTCATTTTCTGTTTGAAAAAACAAAAACATTATAAAAAAATAATAAATTTTTTGACTTGAATGTTATAAATTTTATAATATTTACTTTGGACCATTCACGAGCTTTTTGCGTTGTTGTTGTTATGTTTTTTTCCATACACCATAAAGCACCCATAAATGCTCCAATACTAACTCCTCCAACCATGTCTATAGGTATTCCAGCTTCGATAACAGCTTTAAGCATTCCTACATGAGCTGCACCTCTAGCACCTCCACCTCCAAGTACAAGTCCAACTGAAGTTCCAGTTAACCAACGAGCAAGTCTACTGAAATCACTATGTATGTTTGGTTCAGACATCAAAACTTTAGAATACAATTCATTCTGGAAAAAATAATTATATTATTAATACTTAATATAATATAAATAAAAATTTTTAATTTTTTTATATCTTACAATTCTATATTGAGATCTTCTTGTAAACATTCGTTTAGGACATTGAATGTGATGATGACTAGAAACCCAAGATCTCATATTCAACCACTGTACTGTATTTGTTGGGCGCTGTCCGCTTTGTTCTTTATGTAAGAGTACTAATTCTTTTTGTGTTCTCATTACTAAACGTTCAACTTCACGTTCAGTTCTACCTATAGATGGAGGTTTATCTCCTAAACCCACAATAAGAATACAGTCAGCTTGTCTAACACATCGTTGAGTCCACAATGTATATGTTGGATCACATTGATATAGTGAAATTCGATGTTGATCTTCTTGTTGTGCAAGCCATGATGTTAGACGATATTCATTTGCAGGTTCCATTATAGTGCTACCTAATGTCTATTTATTGAACAAAAAAATATATATATACTTATACTATATATTTCATTACTTATATTATTAAATTAAACAAATTTATGAAATATTTTATTAATATTAATTATTTACTTTTCGAACAACATCAGAAGTAAGGCGTAGACATGGCCCAATAGCACATAATGAATGATAAAGTTCATACGTAAATGCAGTTAGAGGGACATCATCGGATACCGGAACTATTGCAACAGTTGAAAAATTTACTTGAGCTGGTCTTGCGTCAACTGTCGCCGCGGCCCGTCTATAAATATTTTTATAAACGATGAATTCAAATTATATTACAAGAGAAGAATTGTATATAATATAATATCTGACAAAATATTATATTATATTATTATAAATAGATATATACTGTGTATCGTTACTGCCATTTTTTGTATGCGCTTGTTGCCAAGTGCCAAGTATACGATGTCCAAGTAAATTTATAAGTCTTGTAACTACTATTGGATAACGAAGTTTTATAACATTAAATAATCCTTCAGGAAGTTTTGCTAATTCAGAATCTCGTACTGCCATTACTGTTGTTGATCGTGGTGTTTGTGTAACCATTTCTACAATACCTACAAGATCACCTTTCCCGTATTCCGCAACAAGTTCTTTTTTTCCATTTTTATATGTAATTACCGACCGAAGTCGACCACTTAATACAATAAATGTCGAATCTGATTCATCTCCTTGGCGATATACTGCTCTTCCACTTTCAAGAAATAGCCAATCAAGTGCAAAATCAACCTTTTAATAAAGATAAATAATTACCATTAATTATTAATAAATTAAATAAATGATATATTTTTACCTGTCTTACAAAGGGGCTAAGTCTTCGAACAACTGAATGGGCAACATGTAATACAACAGTTGGTTGTTCTCGCATAATAGCGAAAAATGTTGATTTACTAAGAAGTGCTATGCGACTAGAATGTTTTGCTCTAATGGTATAAAAAGAAGGTTCTCCAGTTAATACAGCTAAACCACCGACAATTTCGCCTTGATGAGCACTAAACATATGAACTTCTTGACCTATATCTCTACCTTCTGAAACGCGTTGACTAACTATTAATATACCAGATATAACATAGACAAGTGCAACATCCTGAAAAAATGAAATATAAAATTGGGTAAAAACAAACATTTTTATGAATAATGTATAGGAATATTAAAATTTACCTTGTGAGATTCTTCCTTCATCAAATACGTACCACTTGGTACTTCTCTAATTTGAACTTTACCATCTTTGAGTATTGAATCATCTTCTAATCCAAGTTCCCTAATGAATGCTTCTGTAGCTATTTGCACAAGATGTGCTTCATCTAATTGTTGTTGAATTGGTTCAGTAGTAATTGATCTTTTCTTGTTAGAATGTGAATTTCCAGTATGTATTACATCTGGTTGTGATCCTTGTTGTGATGTTATAGGAGAAGAATTTGGCCAATGAGAATCACATTCTGGTACCATATCTGCTGTATTTTGACCTGATTGTAAACTTAAATTTTGATTTTTCCAATCAAGATTAGTTTTTTGCCTATTATGTATAAATAATAATAATGAATAAATATTAATAAAAATATGTTTTCATTTCATATTATATTTTTGTTAAACCTACCGTCGACTTATAACAATTGGTACACTTTGATGACTACTTAATGTAGATATATGAACTATTTCATTTTTATCATGTTCTGATGAAATAGTTGTAAATGTATTGGATTGATTTTCTATATTCTGGGTAGAACAATTTTCTTTAGTTCTTGATCTAACTGGAGATCCAGAAAATGGACTTTGTTTCTTTTTATGTGATCCTTGATTAACTAATTCTGCAGATAATCCAAGATATTGATGGAGAGCAGTAAAAGTGACTCTTTGAAGACGGACCATAATGACCTGGATAACTCGAACAAATGCATCAGGATGATCTTGAAAAACCTATAAAGATGTAAAAATTGATTGTAAAAATCATAATTTGTTTCATTTTATGTTATAATTTTATAAGGATTGTATACCTCTTGAAATGCATTCATTGGTAATTTTACTACAATAGAATCTTCTACGGCTCTAGCTGATACTGTTTTATAGGTACTTGTATGCCCAGTAAGTACATCTGTAAAGCTAAGAAGACTAGTTACTGATTCTCCAGTTTTTACTAATTTTAATGATATTTGAGAACCATCAGGTCCTGTAATATAAACATTAACTAAGCCTTGTTGTACAATAAATAAATTTTCATCTGGATCTCCAATTTTAAATAAGGTGCTTCCAGCTGGTAAATTCATAATTTCTGTATGTTTGCATAATTTAAGAAATACTGGTTTTTCAAAATGACCAAATACTCTGATACTTTGCAACATATATAAAGCATCAGGAGGTACTTTTTCTCCAGGACCTAGATCTTCTTCTAAATATTCAGCCGGTGGTTCTAAAACCTATTAAAATATTAAAATATAATAATAAATATACAAGATAAAATAAAAATTAAAATAATTATACTTAAAAATTTAAATACTTTTAATTGTTGTGGTACTGTTTCTTTTTTAAGTTGTAAAAGTCTTCGTGCAAATCTCATTACAGCTTTTCTTTTTTTTCCTTGTCCAGTTGCATGTACTTGTCCACTGATAGACTTTACTTTGCGTAACATTTTTCTTCCATAAAAAAGTACTTTGTCTCTTTTTCTGAATCTGGGCTTGCCTGTACCTACTCCAACAAATTCTTTTACTTCTGGAAGAAATTCTTTGTTTTTCCATTTTCGCAGAATGATTATAGATATAATTAATAAAATCACAAGACTTGATATTATAATACTAAATAGAGTCTTTGATGTTTGGTATTCTGTAATTAATTTGCCAATCCATCTTGAAAAAATATAAGAACCCAAACTTTCATTACATTTATTGAATAATTCTACTACCTATAAAAAATAACAGAAAAGTTATCATAAATTCAGTAATAAATTAACTTTGATTAATAAAATAATATTTATCAATATTTAAATTTACAATTATAAAAATCTATCTATGTAAATTTGATTTTATGCTTCAACAAATAGATCAAATATTTAAAAATTAAATGTGAAATATGACAAATACAACCTCCATAGTAGGTATTCATTTCTTCCATCAGAATGTAGTAAAATGTTAAACAAAAAGTGTGTCACAAATTCATAAGTAAAAAATGACGAAAATCCGAGATAGATGAATTGAAACAATGTAGTTGTTTTGATATAAAGAATTACTTATCTACAATGAATTAATGACCTTTGATACTTCGCTCGAGTCATCCAGCGCCATTTTAGTCAATTTACAAGCTTGCAACTTACAAGCTTGCAGTTTTACTTTTATATATTTTATAAAATTATTATTAAATATTTAAAAAATGAATAGATTTATGAATATTTTCATAACCTGGTTGTCATTTTATTTATGTTTCATATAATTGTCATTTTTATCGAACTGAAAATCGAAGTTACAATTTGATAAATTTGCTTTGATAATTTTTTATATAATATAAATTACAATTATTAAAAAAAAATGAAATAATTATGAAATAATTAAATATAAAGAAATAATAAAAAATACTATTTTTAAAATAATAAATGAATTATTTCTTAAAATAAAAAAATAAAAATTATAAAAATTTATATATAAACTTATATTTGAATTTTATTTATTAGAATGATAGGCAAATATATTATATGATATTATTTTATAATTAGTTTTTTTATTTTAAAAATTATTTTTTTATTTTATAAAAAACTAATACAATAAAAACGGAAAAGTAACGATTTTATTTCTTAATTATTATTTTAATTTTTAATAAATATCATTTAATATTATTTATTATTATCATCTTGCAATCATATTGCAATTAAGATTTAAAATTATCCGCCAATATTAATTTCACCAATGATTAAACGTTTCCCCACTTAGTATCTACTTATATCTGAAAACTTCGATAGAGTGCGCTACAGAGGAATTCTGGGCGGTTTTTGATGGACAGTTGGGTCCAGCCAGTCAGTGGTTACGGGCCGACATGTTGAAGATATTTCTGTGATTGTACGCGGTAGGCCTAACGCGTGATTTTTCATGCGTCTTTTGTGCGTGTTCAATATATAAGAAGTGTTTTTGGATTGCGACGCTACATGTGAAGTGTCGAGTGAAACAAGCTTGCTTGTGCCTGGTTTACCCGGCCCAGCAAACATGAGCTGGGGTACAGAGCTCTGGGTAAGTCTACTTTACTGTTTCTTTCTTTACTTATCTATCTCCATCTTTGTGCTTTTATATAATATACGTGTATACAATGAGATCTTGTAATATACACGTTAATATATTATCGGATGCTGACTGTTGTTTTCGCCAACGCATAACAAGGATACCCCCCAAACCAGTTCACGGTGGCAAACCACTCACGGGAGTTTTGCTTTTGCGGTTGCTAGCCGCGGGCGACGTTCTTCTCTCCTATATCCCCTCTTTTCCCACTATACCCAACCCGGGTATACTCATCACTGTGCTTCTTCGCTTCCTTTCTCATGAAATCTTCGATGAATATCGGTGTGACGATATGACAGTAACTTGTCATCTTATTATATTATGAATTTCATTAGTTTAAAGTATTAGCTTTGTAGAATGTTTTTATATTTTTGTATGTTAATCTATATATTGTCATCATTTTTTTTAACAATATTATTTTGTTTTTATAATTGTCTAACAATGTGATACGTTTATATATATATAGATATAGATATATATATATATATATATATATATATATATTGTTTGTTGAATTTCATGTTAGATATTTCGATTTGAACTCGTAAATAAACATGTTATAGTTATTTATGAATTTAATGATTTTTAATAAATCTGAAGTATTAGTTGAAATTTTTTTATGTTTATAATTTAATTTAATTTTTTAAATAGTATATAGTGATATAATGATTACTGATTTTTTAAATATTTTGTTGTTGCTTAAAATGATTATTTGTATAATCTTACATGCTTATTATTTTTTTCCTATATTTTATAAAAGAATTTATGCATATTTATGCTTATATGCATAGTATTGAAAATCATGCCACTCAGGTTCGTCATCTTCCTTACTTTCTGTTCTTTATAAATAATTCATTCACGCATTCCAAGTCGTCGTTTTTGTTCCTTGCTATCTCTCTTACTCGTATAAGTTCAGAGATCGATGAATTTCTTGCAGCTTAGTCTTTGCTCAACGGTCAGTGAAAAGAATTAACATATTTGATATATAATTTGATTTGATAATATGATATATAATTTATTTTAATTTTATTGTATGATTTAATAAAATTTCAGAATTTGTGCTATTATTATGTTATTATTCATGGTATTGTGAATTTTAATTACATTTATCATTGTGAATATATATATTTTTTTTAATTATAAATCCAAATTTTACAAAATCACAGAAATATCGGTGAAAAATAATTTTAATATACAATTTTATATCATTTAGGAATATAATATATGATACTGTAAGTACTTTTTTTCGAGGATTAATAATCTGTAAAATAATTGTAACTTTCAATGTATAATTTATGTATAATTTATAAAGATTAGGTCAATCCATGAACATTTCGATACAAAAGCGTATTCGATTCTATCTGTCACTGTATATTACGATTCATTGACGTTCTACTCGTATTCCCTCGTGAATCATGATACGGGACGCGTTCGTGTTTAACCGCTAACGGCTGCTCGTGAGCATATGTACACGTACGATACGGGCGTGCCTCGCCATGCTCTTGACAGAGAAAGGGAGAATACAGAGAGAGTTTTGCTTTGAAAATTTCTAACTGGAATATAGTTTGTTTCTTCTATAAATGTCTGTTTCTTTTTTTTATATAATAAGATTGTGCAATTAATGTAGAATTATAATATAGTTATAATTATAATATTTATGTTTATTTTTATATTTTTATTGATTTAACTTATATAGAAAAGTACAAGAAAATAATTTAAATTTATTTTCTTTGAAGTTGCTGTAATGGATGAAAACAATTCATTAATCAATAAAGAATTCTTGGCCTGTAGATTTTTCAAATACGGTTTGTATTGATGGCATTTACAAGGATACTTTCTTTCTACGTTATTGATTTAATGATAAAACTTTATTGTTTGTCAAACTTATCGATCAATGACGTTTTCCACGCTTGTACCTGCATTATCAAATATTTGCTCCAATTAAAAGCGAGTTCTTGCTTTTAAGTCCGATTGCAGATGACTAATTAAGGCAATCATTTTCTAAACTGCGTATATACATGTGTCTGTACATTGATCATAATATTGTTTCTTTGATTGTGTTCATGCAGGTTCTTATCAGCTCGTATGAGAAAACAATTAACAGTGTAATGTCGATTTATTGCAAGGGACACGATATCGTTCGTGTATCATGTTAGTACCGATGCATGAAATTTTCTAGACAATAAATTTTCAAGAAATATATTTTTAGAAATATCGTGTAAGATTTCGAATTAACTTTAATTCCTTGATTTAGTTATTAATTAAATTTAGTTAATTTATAGTTATATATGTAATCAATTACGTAATCTTGCATTAAATAACCTAAACAAAATTTATCATTTCTAGGTTACTTTAAAAATCACATACTATGATATAGTGCGTTAGAATGCCCTTATTCATTGCTTGTATCTATTTGTCAATAAGTCTTGCAATAGTATAAATATTTTTTTTTTGCAAATCATAAATAATATTATTCAATCGACATTTCTAATTTGTGTCGATGAACTCACTTATTATGCTAATATTGTCGAGTATATTCATATCGCGCAAACAAATTATCATCAAAGTTCGTATTTTTGTATATTTTTTACGTATATTCATACAAATGATTTTTAAAATAAAATAAAATCATTAGAATTACAAATAACATGCAATTTTATAACAATATATGAATAGAATTAACAAAATGCTTTTCCTAACTATGAAAAGCAAAAGCAATAATAAAGAATTGTAAATAATTTCATCGATAATTAATAGATCACATATATTCTTCTGATCCAATATTAACATATTACTGCGTATTTCGTTTTCAGAATTTTTTAATTGACAAAATCTTTGAAATGAAGACCATAAATTAATAAAATTTAAAAAATTTAAAATTATATTAATTGAAAAAATATGTTCTTTGAAAAGAATTAAAAATCTGATTCAAAAATGAGAAATTAAAAGCAAACATTAAAAGTAAGCACTATTATTTTTTTTTATTAAATATTTTTTAAATATTATTTATAAAATAATTTAATAATTAGTTAGGTTAGGTTAAATTAGGTTAAAGAATATATAATAGGTTAAAAATAAAAAAATATCATTGTTCTATTTTTTTTTATTAAAATTAGATTTTTAACCATTATTTATGAAATAATCTATTAATTATTAATAGTAATTTTTAAAATATATAGACTTTATTCGGTTTAAGAAAATTGTTAATCAAATAATTTTGATTAGAGATTGTATAAAAAATATTGAAGGATTTTCAATAGTTTTTAAGCTTAAATATTTGCAATAAACCAATTGAATTCATAAACCAAGAAGATACAAGATTTGTCTCATATTCTTCCTGTTCACCTACGCGATTCTTCAATATTACAATGACGGAAAATGGAAATAATATTACGTGGGCGGGAAAAATATGAAGGTTATGAGCATTTACTTACTTTCTTTATCATGACGAAATCATTTTTCTATATATATATATTTACACAAGCCATTTTTCATATTTGAATTACGATCTTATATGATAGAATGACGCAAAAAAAAAAAATAGATAAATTATTGATAATTGTATCTTAATTTTTGATTTATTCGAATTTCATGAAGATGAAAAATTCTTTTTTAATATTAATTCATTTTATAATTAGATTTGTTTGAATTTCTAATAATGTTAATTCATGTGCAAGATAAACAGTTATTTTATTAAATTTTTCTCGAGGTTTATCGCGTATTTGTTTCGTGTCGCGTAGTAGTTTCCTCGATTGTCATCACAATGACGTCGGTTTTGCAAGGTGTGCTGCTTGATGAGCTGTTTCCTCTGAGTAATAGGTAAATAAAAGAAACTTTTTCGTTTTCCAAGAAGAAAAAAAAAAAGAAATAATGTTGATAGTGAATATCAGAAAACATTATCTAAATTAATCAAAGAGCTTATCAAATATTACGATCAATTATGAATAATTTTAATAGAGTATTCAACTTGCCAAGTTTTCCATTTGAAAGTATACATACATTTTTTTATAACCTCAAATTTTAAATCATTTCAAACAAATTTCAAATACCAACGATTTTTATTTCTCTCCTTTCCTATCATTGGAAATCGTACAGGGAATTAGAAACGTAAATACGAGCTCGATTTCGTATGCTAAGCAACGGTTTCATAGCTCGACATTCTTCGTTCATGTCTCAAACGAGACGTAAGGTCAGGTGCGTCTCTTCCATTCGGAGCTCGAGTACCTAAAAAGGTATCAATCGCCTCGAAAACGATAGTCAAACGTTCGGGGGGTTACATGTATCGAGAATTGATTTCGATGAGCGAGAAAAAAATGCGATTGTTTTTTGATATTTTTCAAAGAGGAAAAATCTATAGATAACGGAGGCAAAATTTTCGAGCGTACAAATTGTGCAAAAACTTCACAGACAGTTTCTCGGCCAGCCGGTAAATTGACCGTAAACCGTTTAACAACGTGGAACGTAAAACTTTGACCGATTAAATTTTACATACATGTATTCTTCTACAGGGCTGTTTTCAACGCAATTTTTTATTGGACGATAACTTCGAATTGGAAGAATTTTTTTATTGAAATTTTATCGAATTTTAAATTGAAGAAAATTAAATGATATTCGAGAAATTTTTCGGAAGAGATAAACGAATATTTGCATAATTTTTTTATTGAAAATAACAAACTTACTCGAAAAATTGTTTTTACTCGATTGTTGAAAATTATTGAACACATCGATATCGTGCATATTATCGATCAATCGATAAAGAAATATTTAACTTCACGAAGAAAAGAGATATTCACAAGGATTTGGTTTTCAACCTAGGATATATATGTTAATACTTTATTTAATTCTTTAATGATTGGATTGTTTTTAATTCAATCGATTTAGCGATCGATCGCACATTTGTTAACATTTAAGAGAGAGGAAATTTAGATAAATTTCTAGAAATCTATCAGTATGACTTTTTACGCATCTATTAGAATTCGATAACTCTTTTCTCCAGATTTTTTTTGTAATACATTACCTCGCCGGATATCTCTCTTATCTGGATTGTTCTTATCACTTACCTGTTGTGCTGTTCTTTCTTACACACCATGCTCCGTTATCTTCTCCCAACAGATAATCGTTTTCGAGATTTTTCTTACTTATATTTTTCCACTAGCACACGTTCCAATGAACATTCAGCTTACTTCGACCAAGGAATATAGACGATTACAAATCGGTGTACACGGTTAAACGTTCTTGGGAATAGAAACAGGGGCAATGATTTACAAGCTTTATGATTGTTCTTCTTCGCGGTACTTATCGATGTGTATCTAGACGGAGCATCAAAAGTGATGCATCGTTTGTGTGTTGCAATGATGTTATCGTAATATGCGACTGCGAATAATGTATCTAAGTTGAATGTCGTTAAAAGATCTGGAACGATAATGCTAATGATAATATATTTTTGGGAATTTAATATTCGACGCGATCTTAAAAAAAATATTTCTGGGAATACGATGTAA